AAGTAACTTGAAGGCTACAGTTTGAAGGGCTCGCGTTGTGCGCAGCATGTGCAAACCACGCTCCAACACCTCACGGTCGCTGTTTGCGGCAGGATCTGGCAACGGACTTGAACGGCCTGACTTGGGCGGCTTGGTATTGAGCATTCTTGCATACACCCAATCAGTTGTGGTCGGAAGGTGGTGGAAAAATCGCGCAGTCTGATGTCGTGAAGAGAAAGTTAAGCTAAGGCAATGGAACGGGTCAACTTTCTGACAGGCGTGGCATCTGAAAATGACCTAGCCATGATTAGCCATGTAAGCTGGCTGTGGACGAGATTGTTGCTGCAGACCCACTGGCGGCAACGCTCCTGGACTTCATGTCAGGAACTCATGAAGCGGCAGTTGAGCTCTCGCAGCACCAAACGCTGCATGGGTTTGCATCCGCAGCAACAAGCAGGCAACCTGTACGCAGCACGAAAGACTGATGAGCCATCTCCGCTTTGACGAAGCACCCTCACCAAGTCCAATTCATGCGTTTCATTGCAAGCCTAAAAAGCTTCGTCTCTCCTCGCTCAATTTCCAGGCCCCAGTTCGTAACATGCACGATTCTGGTGCCACACCAAGCCCTGCAAGCTCTTGAAGGCAGCGCCTGGGACGCGCAAAGGATGCGGAGATGTTGGCAGCACAGCGACAGTCTGCCGTGAGACATGTCTAGGCGTCGTCTTGTGCCTACTCCTTTGCAGACGTACAGGTCTGGTCCCAGCAGATCGCCACCTTCGCAAATCATCAACGTAGCCCCCGAGGCAAAGTCCGAGAAGCACTTTGCTTGATTTGGAACGGTAGTTTCAAGCCAGCGAAGCTCTTTGACATCTGCTGTGCTTGAGCAGACTTCTGCTGCAACTGCTGCTGCTGCTGCTGCTGCTGCTGCTGCTGCTGCTACAAGTCATTACCATGATCTTGGCAAAGCTACTCTCTCTCTCTCTCTCTGTCTCTCTCTCTCTCTCTCTCTCTCTCTCTCTCTCTTAACGACTAAGTCCAAGTCAAGCACACTCTGAGACTGGAGCATGCATACCCTTTGATTCAATGTCGACTGGATTTCTTGTTAAACCCAGTCGATTCAGTTTTGCACCTTGAGAGGACCTCCCTGGAGAGGAACCGCTATTGCGCCTGGACTTGCCGCACTCCCAAGTGAACAAGTCCCTGCAACGTAACATGCCTACTGAGATCCAATCAAGCTTGCCGGACCTGCATGTCCCAATATTGGTAAGCCAAGGCCCGACATGTGCTGCGTGCATAAGCCGGCCGGGTGGGAGGTTGACAACGAGGAGCTGCACGTGTTCTCAGCCCATTTGAACAAGCCAACGTTTGAAATCAAACGGTGCTCAGGAAGCAGGCAAGAGGCCATCTCAAGCCTAATCTGTAGGGATTCTTGCGATTGTCTTGAGCTAGAAGATGATTTGGTGAGGATGCTGGGGGCGGCCCCTGGATGTCTTCTTGGCTCATGGAGCAGTGCCACCCTTGGGACTTGGATGTTTTGGGCATTGGCACATACTTGTATCTGTGCGCATGTGGCGTGAATGGCAATGGTTGTCCGGGACCCTTGAACACTTTGTCATTCCTAGATTACGACATTTCCATGCAATGGCGGGTGGCATGTAGAGTTGCCAAGCTTCGTGGTGGCATCTGGCGAAAGTGAGCGGGGCCACTTCAACAACAAATGCAGAGCAGCCGCAGGTTTGCTTTTGACAATGTGCCCATCGTGGGGGCTGGCTGAGTTTGTTTTGGATGCAGCAAGATGTGCACCTCCAAGCCAGCCAAACCGTCGTGGCTAGTCCTGTTCTGTCTGATGCCAGGTTCACTACGAGGAGCATCAGTTTGGCTTGGTTCAGAGCAGTGCTCTGAGTCTATGAGCTGGAATGCTGAGTCTGCATAGCCCATGTGATGCCACACTGTACTACTTGAAGTCTCTGAAGGCAGGGTCTCAGAAATCTTTGCGAGCCTACTCAACTCCTCCAGCTCCACTTGCAACGAGGACTGGACATACCGAGCTCAGGATTGATTTTGGCTGGGAAGACGTGGGAGGCCGGGATGATGGGATGCAGGAATGTAGGATGCGCTTCTCGAGTTTGAGATGTCTCGTCAGCAGGGGTTCTACACCCTGAAGTTCCAGTTGCAGACAGGCATCTTGGTTCGAGAATATGCTGCTCGCTCAGATTCAATACCGCATCTGCGCCAGATCTAGAATCCAGAGTGTGCAGTCGTAAGGTCGTCCTGGTGCACGGGTGGGCGGCGGCCTTGGATGTGCGAGATTGTGCGACTCTGTGCGACGAAGACTCTTAGTCTGAAGAGTAGAAGACGACAGGCCTGAGATGTTGCTGTGCCTGGGTGTTTTCTTAGCAGAAAAGTCGTTCATCTCAAGTATTCTCATTCAAAGATCTGTCAGGTATCCCTTGATGGCCGAATCAACGAGCAGCTGGTAGCTTGAATTCTGCAACAGAGCACGCATGGAGCAGACAGGGAGTTGCAGCAGTAGTCGTTATGGAATGGCAGTCAGTCGTAGTAGTTCTGGTGGCAAGGAAAGCAGATGAAGTATCAAGTCCCTAAGGTCCTTCGCGGAAAACGCATCGCAGGGAACACCTGCCCCAGGGCTGGTTCGAGTCGTGGCTCACCTGAGGCGCCCTCAAGCACCCGTTAAAGCACAACCTTCAGTGGTGATGGGTGAAAAGTAGAGCTAATGTATGCCATCCCAAATTTGTCTTCTGCTGATGACTTCTGACCGGCCCCCGAAGAAAGGGGTCAGTCTTTTCGACCGCTCCAGAAAGGTATGAACAGCTGTAGCGTTTGGGTCTAAGCAAGCAGAGTTCTTTTCGGATAAGCCTTGTTCTTGAAGCTGTTGAGGCGTGCAATTTGAAACCAGATAGGGGCCACGAACCCGAATGAAGACACGTGTCACGTACATGCAATG